AATCCCTCCACCATCCTCAGACTGGGGCCTCGGGTCCATAAGTGTTGTCAAAGGCATCGATATCAAGCCTTCACATTAGATCATCAAAAGCTTTCTGTGCTGTCAAAAAGTCAATGGGGGAAAAGTCGCTTATGGAGACAAGGGAGAGAGTGAAGCAAGACATTTTTTTTTGGTTCAGTGATCTCTGTCTGGCACTCAGAAAATAAATTAGGCTATGGCCTTTCTGGAATAGCTAGTGGAAAGATAAAGGCGTGGGGTGCATTAGTGGCTTTCCAGCTTTTTCAGCTCAACTAATGAAAGGAAAAACCACAATTAGATTACATGACATTGCTACATGTGCTTACAGGAACTAGCTGAAAGAAAAATCATACTGGGATATTCAAAGCCCAAGAAAGGATTCTTGGCTAGGGGTAAGTAACTATCTGTGCCACTCAGATAAATCACTATGCTTTTTCGAACTCCGTTTCTGAGAGATAGAGCAACAGAGAGCGCAGAGAGGAAAGAAGAAGGTGGAGAAGGAAAGAGAAGGAGATGGAAAGATAGAGAGACTAAATAATGAAGGGTATGCATGTCCTTTATGGTTGTAATGTATACTTTAAATCATTTCCTATATATGACTTATAATGCAGTGCGTTTGCTCACATATTTTTCTGAACACCATTGATGGAGTGCTCTCTCTCTCTTTCTCTCTCTCTCAAATCAGAAATGGGGTCCCAGAGAAGGGTAGTGACTTCTATGAGAGGATATAGATAGAATATATTGACCTTTTGATTTAAAAACCCACCTGGATTATATTTAAATAGCATCACTGTCAAGTTTCCCAAACGATACCTTTAGAGGTGCAACTAGTTTGAAATACTTCTGGGTGATATGATTTGATGGTTGGAAATTTTGAAAATGCTCCTGTTGGGGGCAGGGGGGGGGAGAGGGCAGTGTGTGTGTGTGTGTGTGTGTGTGTGTGTGTGTATGTGTGTGTGTGTGGTGCACGCACACGTGTGCGTGTGTGTGTTGGTGGGATAGTAATGTGTAAAACAATATTACCTATAAATAAATAATTGAGCAGTAAAGACCTAATGTTATGTGATGATTATATTGTTTTTTCCTTTGTGTATACTGACATTTTCCATAATAAAATAATTTTAATGCAGTGATCCATAATTTTAAAAACTACCTAGAACAGGTAATCTGTAGTGTCTCCCATTTTAATACTTTATTATTTATCCTTTCAAAGAATTTGCAGAAGAAATGAACTTCTGGAGACATTTTTATATGCTCACCTTAGGTCTGGAGATAGCTTATGTATTTTATATGCCTCTAATAGTTTATATATACAGGTTTTAGATATTTTATGACATTTTATAGACACTCTAATCCAGATAGTCTGTCATAATCCCATTTTCCAGATGATTCTGTGATACTCCATTTAATTCCTTCCATCAATACACTTTTAGGAGAAAAAGCAGCAATCACTATTGCAAAGAAGCTGGCCAAGAGTTGGTTATTAGTGCTCATTTCACTTGAGAGTGGTCTACGGTCTGATTGATTTCTTAAGGGTTTCTTTAGAAGGCACAGCACTGTGGCAAGTGAATGAGAGGCATGTACAATCCTTAGAATAGCAGTCGACAGGGTCAAGGGACAACAGTGTTCAGGAAAAAGATAATTGTGGGAGGGTAAGGGTTTAGGTTCCAGAGCCATTCTGCCTGGGCCCTGCTCTTGTCTGTGTCAGTAGACTCACGATGAGATCTTGTGTAGCTAAGCTCCTGGGCTTGGGTACCTGAGCTCCCACTTCCCTAGATGTAACATGGAAATCATGGCAGATTCTTCTACGATGAAGATTAAGGCTGTGCCTGACTCACAGTAAGCTTTCAATTGGTGCTCACTAGTGTTAATGCCACTGTGCAAATATAAACAAGAAAAAAAGATGTAAAATACAGATCAAAATGCTATCAGTATTTGTCTCTGGATTGTGAACCAAAGGATGGTTTTTTTTCTTTATTTTTGTTTGGGTTTTTCCAACATTCACAGAATATTCCTTACTCTTAAATCAGAGAAAAATAGTTTTTTTTAAAGTAACTTTTAAAAGTTTTCTAAGACTCTTTTTTTTCTCTGTGTGCTGGTATTTGGACTACAACCCAGGGTCTTATGCCCTGCTGGTACTCTAACCACTTAATCCATACCTACAGCCTGGCATTTTACTATGGTAATTGGAGATGGAGCCTCAGAGATTTCTCTGTCCAAGCTGTCTTTGAATCAGATCTCCAGATCTCAGCCTCCTGAGTAGTTAGGATTACAGGTGTGAACCACAGGCACCCAGCTGAAATGTTTTTAGCTTGTGTGTGTATGTGTATGAGTATTTGTGTGTGGGAGAGAGAAGGAGGGAGGGAGAAAGAGAGGGAGAGAGAGTGGGAGGGAGAGAGGGGGGAGAGGGAGAGTACAGAATATACCCGGGCTTGAACTCAAAACCTCAGTCTCTTGTTTACTTTTTGTTCATGGCTGGTCCTTAACTACTTGAGTCTCATCTCTAGTCTTGCAAGAGACTTTTTAAACTTTCATGATAGAATTTAATGTCGAAAGTGGCCTGAACCATGTTTAGTCCATGAGTTTCTTTTAATTTCTATATTGTAAACTGAGGGAGATCATAATTATACTCCACTTCTGGAGTGCAATGTGATACGTCTCCAATGTGCAATGATTACATCAAGCAAATTCTCATATGCATCACCTCACTTACTTGTCCTTGTAGTGACATGCTTAAAATTTATTTTGGCTTATTTGGAAATATTCATATTTTGATAATTGAAACTGCCTCAGAGGAGAGTCAGGTGGAGAGATTACCAATGCCGCTAGTATATTCCCACCATGTTCTTCTCTTCAGGAAGAAGAGCTTCATAAATACCAATGTGCTCCACAATGCGCCTTCCTAGTTAGAAGGACTGGAGCTTTTCTCTGCTCCTTTTCCATGCTATAGGCCCTGCGACTACATGCTCCTGCATGCCAGCAGTTCAGGTCTGTTTTGGGAGGCAGGGAGCCCATTAAAACAATCATAAAAACCACATCCAGAAAAAAAATCACACTGGGGAACACTATTCTGTGTTCTACTTCCTGGGATTCATGGGTCCCTCCAGAGTTCATCTCCACTGACTAAGGTGACTCAGCCATGACAGAAAATGGAAGAATGTGTAAACACACATCAGGAGTACAGACCACTTTGAGGAAAACTAACTCATATCCATCAGAAACCATAAGTTTGATAAATGGGTGAATAATTATGGGTGTTGCATATAAGGTTTTGCTTTGCCAAATAATTTACATTAGGACATCTATAAATAGCGTGTGTGTTTGAACCATGCTGCCTTTTATTCAAATAGCGTGTGTGTTTGAACCATGCTGCCTTTTATTCAAATGCTAAGGCTATTCCAGAACACACCTACTGCAGAGCAGCAGGCCCCCTCCAAAAGTTGAATTCCACTCAGTCTTGCTTTGACCTACACTCCCTCACAGTACTACATCATTGTTGAAATGTCCATGTCACTTCTGGGGATTGATGGCTGGTGATGAGCACTGGGCTCCTCTTGCTGGGGGAGTGGGGGCTGCAGTGTGCATGCACACCAGGGATGCTGAGCTGAGGCAGACTAGTAGGGATTATTTGCTTCATCTCAGAAAGAAGAGAGGAAGCAGAATCCATAGCCCTCCCCAAGACGGAAACTAGGAAATCCCACACATTCCTCACAAGGATCCTGGAAGATGAGGAGGGGAGGGGGTGTTCCGCCTCCATTTCCAGCTGACTTTTGGAAAAGATGCCAAGATCAGATAGTCAGTAATTAATAGGAGAGAGCAGGAGCAAAAAGGAGGGAAAGAGAGAAAGAGAGAGTGGGAAGGAGCAAAGCAAAGCTTTTTGTGTTAGATGAACATCTTTGATGGCTAATATCACAAGACTGGACCCCACATCCCACCAAATCCCACCACGGTCGGCTGTGATTTGCTACCCAACTTTGCCACTGGTTCCTGGGATGAGCCTGCAGGGAGACAATGTTGCCTTTTTCCTTGCCTCAATCCCATCTAGGGGCCAGGGGAGGGGGTTTCCCTCTTTCCTTTGCCATCACACAAGAACTGCTCACATGGCAAAAACGCCTTGGGTTTTCACAGCAAACTCTGAGCAAAGAGCCAGGGGCTCTGTACTTAAAAGGATCCATAGAACTGTAACCCCACGTTGTGATTTCTGCTCCCCGATGAGTTGCCTTTCGGCATCGTGTGGCTGCTGGCAGCCACATTTGACTTGATCCTCTTCCAACATTTCCAAACATGTGCCTGGCACCCACGCAAGTTTCAGAGGAAGTAAAATAGTGACAGTTGACGGAGCTGCGGGGTTGTGTGTGTGTGTGTGTGTGTGTGTGTGTGTGCATGTGTGAGTGTGTTAGCGTGATTCTTTTAAAGGCAAGCGTTAAGTTCTAAAGAGTATTAACTTCCACAAGAGGAACACCAACTTTTCTCGCAGACGCAGTGCTTTTCTTTGCCAAGCATATATAAACGCATATTTTCAACTATTGGGATATGATGTTAGGCATGAGGTCTCTGAGACCCTTCAGATAGGACACCCCATTGCTGGCCCAGGGTGGGCCCAGGCTTGTCTGCGAGTGTCTCTGGACTGTCTCCATCCTTCCCCTTTCCTTACCCACCTCATACAGAACAGGAGCTCAGGACACACAAGCAGGTTGCAAGCACAGGACAGCCAAACCTCCTGTCAGCCCCAAGAAACCAGGAGTCACCGGGACTGGCAGGCACACCTAGGGTAGAAGCGTGGCGCAAAGCCTTGGGGCCACCGGGACCAGTCCAACAGCAGGGTAGGCAATGGGTCCTGCCGGACGCTTCAAGTCTCAAGGGAAAGCTAGGGACACCTTCTAGCTCCCCCGTGCCAGCGCCAGGTCGGAGGAGGAGAGGTGGCAGGGACAGGGAGAGAGCACCTGGGCTCTGCCCTGGGCTAAGCGTGCGCGCGCGTGTACCTTGGACTCCAGGCTGCTGGTGGACGCAGGAGAGGGCGGCTGCTCCGTGCTCGGTGCCGCCTCCCGGGGCAGTCCGTCCACGCTGTCCTCTCGGGTGCCGCTGGGAGGGATCATCGTGGCCACGCGGAACGGTGTGGAGACCCTCCCCCTGAGGAATAGCAGGCTCACCTTCCTCTGAGCTCGCTCCCCCCGGTCCCCGGCGCGCCCCTCAGCTCCGGGTCTTGGGGACATCCATGCTACCGGGTGCGGGTGCGTGCCGGCGGCGTGCGCCCCTCTGCCTTCCCGGCCCGGGCCCTGCCCACCTCCCTGGGCCCTGCCCACCTCCCCAGTGCCTCCACGGGCGGGGACAGAGCCTGTCCCGCCCCGCCCACGGCCACCGTACGGGGGGGGGGAGATCGCACAGTGTGACTGCCACCCTTCACAGGCGGGAGGGAGAGGCAGGAGACCCGCAGCGGCTTGGGGCGGGGCTGCGCGGCCACGCGAGGAGACGGGGCGGGTGGGCACCGGGCATCGCCCACTCGCTCTGGGTTGGGAGTGTTTAGTTGGAGAAGTGAAAATCCAAACCAAACCTGAAAGGATAGAAAACCCTTGAATGGCACGGCCTGGAGGGACCACCGATACAACTGCTTCATGCCTGGTTAAAAAAAATAACAAATCAGATGTGACTTAACTAAGCTGCTAGTGGGGTTCAGTATTAGACAGCAGGAGAAGGGAATCCCTGACTCGTACGCAATAGGATTTTCCCCATGGAGCTTTGATCTAAGGTAGCACAGATAGAATAGGAGCACCTGCTCCTCGGGGTATCTCGCTGAGCAGGGCTGCCTTCCCCCTCGTTACTATTTAGTCCCACTGTGTGGCAAGATGCGTTCCCCTCCCCCATTAGTGCAAAACTCCCTCGCCAATTTTTTTTCTTTTTCTTTTTTTCTTCTTCTTTTTTTTTTTTTGCCAATTTTCTAATAGAAAATTCCATTCGAGGTTTGATGGAGTATAAATGTTTGCAAGACCTGATTTCTGGGTGTGCAACTTGGGTAAGAGATTTGCACTTGGCTCAATGCTGTGGTTATCTTAAAATTCTTTAATTAAAAAAATAACAAAGACTATATTTTTCCTCCTTCCTTCCTTCCTCCTTCCTTCTTTTTACTGGGACCCTGCCAATTACACACCTTTTCCTTTATCCTTGCCAGATCACACCTTGGGGAAGAAGTTATGATTTCTTTTATCTCAGACCTCAGTTGCAAGCTCCTGTCTGGTGGTAGCCTATTATTTGCCATTTGGCAATAATAATTCAGAGTGCTAGTCTGAATTCCCTAATGACTCTCATATTCCTGGCTACGTCTACCAACTCAAATATCCATAGCCTTTTTTTCCTCAAAACACAAGCCTTTCAAGCATTGTTACCTCCTCCTTTGTTTGATAGGAAATGTAATAATTACCTTACTCACATAACTGTAACCCCTCTGTACAGTGTCTTCACAATGAAATTATATACAAAAATATTAAAAGCTGGAAAAAACATAAGCCTTTATTTTATTTTTGTTTTTGAGTACCTTTATTTTTCAGTTCTATCAGTTGTAATATAAAGGGGTTATACTTGTGTGTATAGTACACTTGGAACAAATTTACTCACTTCATCAAATTCTCATTCCTTCCATACCTCCCTCTCTTTTTCAAACAATATTTGGTGGGTTTCACTATGTCCTCTGTCTGTCTCTCTTTCTCACTCTCTCCTTCAATCATCTTTATTCCTCAGTATTCCTCCTTCCCACCTCATCTTTCTGGTACTTTCCTAGACAATCTTCTTTAATACTCATGACACATTACTATGACTATTGTTGTCATTGTCATTTTAGAACTACACAGGACAAATGAATGGAAACATGCAGTCCTTGGCATTTGGGGCTTGAGTTACTGTGTGCACTATAATGATCTCCAGAGCCATTCATTTTCTTGCAAAAGACATCATTTCAGTTGAGTAATGTTGCATGGTACATATATACACCAGATTTTCTTTATCAGTGCATAGTTTATTGGGCATCTGGGCCAATTCCATAGTTAGGCTATTGTGAACAGCGCTGTGAAAATCACAGGCATCCAGGTATCTTTCTCATATATTGATTTCCTTCCCTTTGTCCAGAGAGCATTATGGAAGTAGGTGCTAAGGTAGGTAAATTTTTAGTTTTAGAGGCACCTCTATACTGACTTTCATAGTGGTTATGCTAGTTGCCACCAACTATGTATAGGAAGGGACTCCTTTCTCCTTGTGAAAAAAAAGTAACACTGGAGGTATCAAAAAACATAGTAATGCTGGATGTATTAAAATACAGAACTTCAAATTACAGAGCCTCAGCAACAAAAACAGCATTGTATGGGTACAAAAGCAGACACAAACACCAATATAACAGAACATAAGATCTAGAAATAAAGCCATGCAACTACAACCACACAACCACCTTGCCTTTGACAAAGAAGACGAGACTATATTGGGGACAGGGAAGAAGTAACTGGGGAGGTGGGAAAGGAAGGAATGGTAGGGGAAAAACAAAGGAGGAGGCAACAGTGCTCCATAGGATATGTACTCATTACCTTACTCATGTAACTGTAACCCCTCTGTACAGTATTTTTACAATAAAAAACATATAAAATTTTAAAAAAGAATATATTGGAGAAAAGCCAGACTCTTTAACAAATGATAGCATGAAACTGGTTATCTGTGTGCAGAAGACTGAAACTAACTCCCCATCTTTGACTCAAGCTGGACCAAAGACTTAAGACCTTATAACTACTACAGGAAAATATAGAGCAAACTTTGGAAGACACAGACATAGACAATCATATTTGGAAGCACAGATGCCTTCAGAAGCCTAGCAAGTAAGAACAACAATGTATGACTCAGACTACATCAAATTTAAAAGTTTTTGCACATCAAAACAAACAATTACTCAACTCAAGAGACAACCCACAGAATAGAAGAAAACTTTTACCAGAAAATGCAGAAATAACCCAGGTGATAAATGGGCCAATGAATCGAACAGACAATTCTCAGAAGTCCAAATGGCTAACAGATACATGAAATATTCAACATCCTTAGCCACTAAGGAAAGGCAAGCCAAAGCCACACTAAGATCCCAATTCACCCCAGTTAGAACAGCAGACATCAAGAAAACAGGTGACAACAAATGCTGATTTCCAACAACAGAATCCCAACAACTGAAGTCACTACAGCAATAAAAGGTCCCCAGTAGCACTGTCAGTATATCTTTGTCTTCATCTACTTCATGCTTTAAACAGATGCGGCAGGAATCAAACATTTTAAACCTATTCTCCTGCATCTTGAGTCCAGTGAGAGTGGCAGATTAATCAAATCACACACACTCATGCACACATCTTTAGCAGAGTGCAAGAAGGAAAAGAACAGGACACCAGTGAGTATGGCCAGAAGGAGAAGGTAAAGTATGTGCAGATGAGGAGGTGAAATTCCAGGTCTCTTGGAAATTCCAGTTTTGGTGAGTGATCACCAATGCCACTTAAGATAAATCACTTATCTTTAGGCCTTAGTTATGTAAGAACCCTAACTCTACACCTGGTTCTAATTATACTCAGATACTAATAGTACAATAAATATTCTAGTTTTCAGTCATCCTAACTTTTACTTGACTCATAATTCTTAATATAAGTTACAGTTTTACCTTACCTTTTTCCCAACTCTAAACATAACGCGACTAGAGTCTAACCCTAACTCTAATTATAATGGAATCTTAGTTTTCATTCATTTTAACTTTGACTTGACCTATACTTCTAAAATTCTGTTTCAGATTGACCTTAATCTTCACCCATTTCTAACCTAACCCTAAACTTAACTCTGCCTGGAAAACTAACTATAACCCAATTCTAATTATATCCCAATCCTAATAATAACACAGATATCATGTTCATCTCATTCATCCCATCTTTTACTAGACTCAAAATTCTTTAAGTTAGTTTTACCCTAAACAATACATTTTTCTTTTTTTGGGGGGTCCGATCGTGGGCCTGAACTCTAGGCCTGGGCGCTGTCCCTCAGCTCTTCAGCTCAAGGCTAGTGCTCTACCACTTGAGCCACAACACCACTTCTGGCTTTTTTCTTTTTGCTTATGTTGTACTGAGGAATCGAACCCAGGGCCTCAGGCATGCAAGGCAAGCACTCTACCACCTTCCCAGCCCCAACAATACATTTTTCTAAACCCAGTCCTAAGCCATCCCTTATAAGACCCTAACCCTAATTATACCTAAATGTTAACATTAACACAAATACACAATTTTTCATTCATCCTTTTACTCAAATTGTAATTCTAATTTTTATTTTTATTTAGTGCCAGTCTTGGGGCCTTAACCCTGGCCCTGGGCACTATCCCTGAGCTCCTTTTTGCTCAAGACTAGCATTCTACCACAGTGCCATCTCTGGCATTTTCTGTGAATAATTGGAGATAAGACTTTCCTGCCTGGGTAGCCTTTGAACTATGATCCTCAGATCTCAAGCCTCCTGAGTAGTTAGGATTATAGGTGTGAGCTACCAGCACATGGCTATAATTCCAAATTTTAATTTCAGTTTGACTCTATTAGGAAATTTACCATTTCCTAATAGTAAATGTAAACACAAACTGGAACCTACAATGCACTAAATCTAATTATACCTGAATAAAAAATACAAATAGAATTATTTTCAATCATCCTAACTTTGATTCAACTCATATTTCTTAAATTAAGGTGCAGTTTTGCACTACATTTTACACTTTTCCTAATTTTTTTTAACCCTAACCATGGCTGACATTTCAATTCTAAACCTAGTTCTGGTTGTGCCCAAATCCTAAAAGTAACAAAAATTACTCTAGTTTGCATTCCTCCTAATTTTACGCCTCTTTTACTTAGTTAGTTTTAACCTAAACCTTTCCTGTTTCCTGATCCTAAGGCTAATCTGATCTCTAATCCTAATACTTATATATATTAGACATAGAACCTAGTAGTAAAAAATTACTCCAGTTTACATTGATCCTAATTTATATTGGACTCCTACTTCCTAAAATAAGTTTGTTTCACTCAAAATCTAACCCTTTTCCTAACCCTAATCTTAATCTCAACCTTAACTGGAACACTAAGGTGAACTCTTATTTAT